TTTTTTAAGATTTATACGCAAATTTTGGAGTCTATTTGTTATCATTTTCATCAAGCATGGACAAGCAAGAATTCCTATTATTATCATTATGGTAATGACTATCAGCCCATAAATTCCATTTCTAAATGATTTGAAGGACGGAAATGCAGATTTTAGAGCGCTTATGAATGTAGTAGTTTGAGTTGCTACTGAAAGATCTATATGGTGTGATTGTATCATATCGTGAATGTGCTGTCTCAATTCCCCAAGATCTAATGATGTGTTCGCATTATTCCATATGCCTTGAAGATGATCTTGTATTTTGTTCCAAGAGAATTTGGTATTATTGTATTCAATAGGAGTCACACAGATAGCTCGGTATTCTGCATGACATAAGAGAGATTCACGAGTAGCTATAATTTGTAACTGTCTTCCCAGGATGTCTACTGTATCCTTTAAGGAATTGAGACGCAGTTCAATCTTTTCATCCCATGTAGCTTGATTTTGTAACGCTTTAGATACATTAATTGATAATTCATTAACATAAGCTGCTGTCTGAATACTAGTTGTTAAAGAAATAGAAGCTACTGTAGTTACTGCTATGGCAGCAATGAGCGCAGCTATTCCGGCTATTATTAATCCGACCATTCGCTTAGATCTCTCTATTAATTGCAAAGAAGTTTCTTGGAGAATTTCCATTCCCTTGTCAGCATACCAATAATGTGTCAAATTTACAGGAAGATAGACGTAATCAGGTTGCTTTACTAACAAGAAGGAACTACTGCTACTATTAAGACAATTAGAGATTACACAATCGGTACAACTCACTATGCTATTCACAATATTTAGCGGTCCGCTTAAAAAGGCATAAGGTTCTGGAACACAAGCTCGCATATAAAACTCAGTTGTATAACTCTCTGCAGTCATTGACCATTTATTATTTATTTGAATCCAAGTCAAGTTTAATCGTTTTGCTTTGATTTTTTCCATGGCTGCGACTGCTTTCCATAAATTAAAATAGAACGTATGATTGTTTTTTGTCCAAATTCCTGAGACCAAATTAATTGGTCGCCCTTGATTTCCTATGATATTCCAATCACAGATAATGGAATCCATGCACACTGTTTCGTTAGCTCGACATGCTCTCCATAAAGGTGCAAATTCTGTTTTTGGAGTGATTGTGCTTTGACATAAAGGAAAATTTAAGGGAGGCGTTCCAGAACCTCTTGTCCCTTTAGCTAAATCTATATAGAGAAAATTCAGAGCCCAATGAATTCCTGTTGAAACATTGGTATCCCAATCTTGCTGCACTACCACTTTCTCACACAGGGATTGTGTTTGATTCATCTGAAAGCATATAGGCATACCATCAACCTTTCCAGAATAATTAAAACGCGCAGAGAACTCTATTATGTGTCCATCTGAATAAACATTGTTTGATTGTTGTAAACCGGAATGTCCACGGGTTCATCCCATGTTACTGGATGAATGATAGGAGGATTGGGTACAAATGCCCGATATGTTCCTGCATTACAGCCATGATGTAGGACCCACAAGGTACTAAGGATTAAGGCCACAAATTGTATTTTCACTTGCATCTTCCTTTCCCATGTCTGGGTTAGAGTCAATCTCTGAATCTTCCTTCGCAGTTTTCCCATCTTGGTTTTCGGCATGTCGAATGAGTCGTTCAGGGATCCACCGCGGTGATGGCTCATCTGTAGGGAAGATACAAGCATACCCTCGTCCCCACATTAATACTGGGTCTGGTCCACGTAATTGCCTATCCTGTGGGTCCCGCCAGTATACTAATGGCTTGAGCTTATTGGTAGGATTCCAATGCCTGTCAGCAGCAGACAACCCATCATTATCAACTTGTAAAAAATTAAGAATAAATAAGGCATGGTTTAACAGAGAGGTGGGTGTGTCCTTGAATCCCCATATCCCCCCTTTTACTTTGTTTAATTGCTGCTTGAGGAGATGATTGCATTTTTCGATGATCCCTTGGCCTTGGGGATTATATGGAATACCAGTTTTGTGATGAATAGAAAATTGCTTACAAAAATTTCGGAAGGTGTCACTAGTATATGCAGGGCCATTATCAGTTTTGATTGTTTTTGGGATGCCGAGGATAGAAAAACAGTGAAATAGATGGGTACAAACCTGAGATGCACGTTCTCCTGATAATGGGGTGGCCATTACAAAATGTGAATAAGTGTCTATAGTGACATGAACATAAGAGAGTTTACCAAAGGAGGGCATGTGGGTAACATCCATTTGCCATAAGTCAAATAACGCGGTTGTAGGCCGCGTGGATTTACACCGAAGTGTGGAACAGGTAATAGGGGTGCACAAGCAGAGCTATTTTTGACTATTTGTCGGGCTTGGTCTCTGGTAAGGTGGCAAAGTTTTCTGAGGGTGCGAGCAGAAACATGATGTAATTTATGTAATTGCTAAGCTTTCTGCAAATTGGCCGTATAAATCCTGGTGTAATGATCAGCTTGCTTGTTACCATCAGCAAGAGGCCCTGGTAGACCCGTATGGCTTCGTATGTGGCCAACATATATGGGGTGATTTCTTTCGATCAAGAGAGATTGAATCAGGCTTAAATATTGTTGAATAAAAGTGACCTTAGAGTTGATTCGTGGAACAGTCTCAAGTAATTGCAGAGCATTAACTATATACACACTATCAGTAATAATATTCAATGGTTGTGAAAACTGTAAAAGGGCTTGATATACCGCATAAAGCTCTGCCATTTGTGCTGATACATTTATCAAATTCCAAGCGTAGGTGTTGTCTGTGGTTACTAATACAGCATGACCGTTAGAGGAACCATCAGTGAAAACTGTAAGTGCTGCTGGAAGTGGCTGCTGCTTAACAATTGTTGGAAAAGTGATTGAATGATAAGCTGCAAAGCTGAGAATTTTATCTTTTGGATATTCATTAGTAATCTCCCCTGTATATCCTGCAAAAGCTAAAGCAAAATCATCTAGCATATTAAAAAGCCAGGTAAGTTGATCAGGTTTATATGGAAGAACAATTGTGGCAGGCTCCTTCCCTAAATACATAATACTAAGGTGGCGACCAGTTCGAATTCGCTCAGCAATAAGCATGGGATACGAATGTAACGTGCCAGATTGGGTATGTTTACCATGGATCCAGTGTAGTACACCATCCTGATACAGAACACCAGTAGGAACAAGGGGTGTAGGGAGTATTATTAATTTCCATGGATCAGCAAGAGAAGCATAGGTAACTTGAGCTGTTTCAATTGCTTGTTCAACTTTCCGCAAGGCCTCCTTTGCTTGTGGAGTCAGCTGACGTGGAGAACTAGGATCTGGATTTCCTTCAAGAGTTTGAAAAAGTGGGCTTAAATCATGAGTGGTTAATTTTAAATAAGGCTGCATCCAGTTAATGTCTCCCAACAGTTTTTGAAAATCATTTAATGTGCTCAATTTATTTAGAGAAATTGATATTTTTTGTGGTAGAAAGTGCTTAGGATATAGTTGAAATCCCAAATACTGAAAAGGATAATCTCTTTGAATTTTCTCTACTGCTATTTTTAGACCGTTTTTTGTGAGTTGTATCTGCATGTGACCAAAGGCTTCCTCTAACAAGGAAGAATTTTCTGCTGCTAGCAAAATATCATCCATGTAATGTACACATACAACTGTAGGATATTGCTGTCTTGTGTCCTTAATGCTGTTATGAACAAATTTCTGACAAAGAGTAGGACTACTGGCCATGCCCTGTGGCAAAACTTTCCACTGATAGCGATCCATTGGTTTATCAAAATTAATAGACGGTACACTAAAGGCAAATCTAGGACAATCTACAGGATGCAGGCGAATAGTATAAAAGCAATGTTTTAAATCAGTTATAATTTTTAAATATTTTGATGGAATTGTCATAGGATTCGGGAGGCCTGGCTGTAGGGCTCCCATGGGATGCATGGTTTTGTTTAATGCTCGCAAATCTTGCAGTAATCGCCATTTTTCTGACTTCTTTCTGATTACAAAAATAGGAGAATTCCATGGAGAGGTGGATGGTTCAATATGACCTAGGGCTAATTGCTCCTGTACAAATTCCCTAGCTGCCATTAACTTTTCTTTTGTCAGTGGCCACTGATCCACCCATACTGGATCATCGGATTTCCAGATAATTTTATCAGCATGGGGGACAGGAGTATCAGTAGTCACTGCAAGGGAAAACCCAACCCTCTTCTCATGGGGTTTTTCTTAGACTGAATTGGCTCAATTATTCCGTGGGAATTTTTCCCCATTCCCTGTCCTGGATTTGAATTTTGCTGACACATCATATTTGTTACTGCGGAGCTAGGACTGTAAAGATAAGCCCCCATTTGAGTTAGCACATCTCGGCCCCATAAGTTCAAAGGCAGATCTGGTAAAACATACAGTTGAATTGTGCCAGTGTGGCCTTCAGCATCTGACCATGTCAATATTCTAACACTTTGCCTTGGAGTACTCTCAGCACTGATACCTTTTAAATGAGTTACAGAATCAACCAAGGGCCAATCTGATGGCCATTGGTTTTGTGACATGACAGAGACGTCGGCACCAGTGTCTAATAACCCAATAAACTGTACATTTTCTATTGTAAGTGTTAACTCAGGCCGCTCTTGACCAATTTGATGTACGAAGTACATATCTGTTGAACCAAATCCTGTCGTGCCTTTCTTTTTGTTTAATGTCTGATCTACTGATTTGAAAAAGGGGAGTAATAATATTTGAGCTATTTTGGTTCCTTGTGGAAGGGTAAATATCACAGTTTCAGTTTGTATCATCACTCGGATCTCTCCAAGATAGTCAGGATCTATGAGACCTGGCAGTACTTTTAGCCCTTTCATTGTCAGCCCACTATGCCCTAATATCAGACCGCATGTGTTGTTTGGTTACGGCCCATATGTCCCGGTAGGGACTGCTTGCACTCCCATTTCTGGGGTTAATACGAAGTGGGAGGCAATACAGAGGTCCAATCCGGCGCCGTTGGTAGTTGCTCGGGTAAGGTTTGAAACGGATTTGTGTTGCGATTCGTTTCGCTGACTGGAAAAATTCCCCGCTTTGTCTTCTGGGCCCGGGGCTGGCCCATTCTCTCGTTTCCCTGTAACTCAGGGGTATTAACTAATAGATTGCCGTCTTTGTCTTGGCGCGAATGGCATTCATTCGCCCAGTGCTTTCCTTTCTTACATTTAGGACAAATACCTGGATCTTTACTGTTAGGTTGTTTAAAGGGCGCCGATTTGTCTTTACATTCTTTTGCTACCTGTCCCATCTTGCCACATGTATAGCAACTACCTGGAGGACCGGGCACTCTTTGCTTATTACCTGATCTCAGGATAGCCATCGCCTGTTCAATTGATTGTCCTTTGAGGGCGGCTGTTAAGGTAACACCCTGCACATACGCTGGCCCGATCTCTGAACAAAGGCGAACATAGTCATTAAGGGTCGCTTTCCCTTTCCATGGTCGCAGTGTAGCTTGACAAATAGAATTTGCATTTTCAAAGGACAATTCTTTAACCAATATAAGAGCAGCATCTGAATCTTCAATAAGTCTAGCTGAAACTTGAAGTAAGCGAGCTACAAATTCCTCATACGGTTCATCAGATCCCTGCCGGATTTTTGTTAGCTCCTCCTTTTTAACTCCAGATTTTGGCAATTTCTTCCAAGAGGAAAGACCGATTTGCCTGATATAATCATATACTTCTGGTCGAAAATTCAATTGATTAGACACATGTGCAAAATCGCCAGCCCCCTCTAATTGTTCATAAGTGATTCCTAACCGCAAGCATTGTGGAGTCTGAGCATATTGACCACACTGATCAGAATATTCAGCCATCCACAAGAGGTATTCGCCTCCGGTAAGAACAGCTTTAGCTAAACTACGCCAGTCTGCAGGGGGAATCACATTAGAAGCCACCGTTTCTATAATTGCCATAGTAAAAGGGGCTGTTGGTCCATACTGTGAACTAGCAGTTTTGAGCTCTTTCAGTTGTTTAAAAGGAATAGGCTCATAATAATTTACTGTGTTTCCATTTGTTTGTTGGCTCTGTATCACGGGAAAAACGTGATCAGAAAAATCATAAATTGTCTCCCCAGCTTTCCTAGCTTCTTTTAATGCTAATTGCATAGGGGATTGTTGCATAAGCAAAGCATCTACTCCAGGCGGGGGAGGCATTCGCCCTGCTCGAAAGGCAGGTGAAACAGCAAGGGGATCTGATCGAGCCTGACTGACTATCTGTTGTGTCTGCACAGCGGCACCAGCAGCCTGTAACGCTGGGAATACAGCCGCTAAATCCTTACAGTGATATTAAGCAGCCTCTTTTTCTAACTCTCCCCAATCATGAGGGGGTAAAATTTCCTTTGTTATGTTAGTGACAGGAGGTTTACAAGGCGGCAAGTCGTTTGCTAATTTACAAATCAAAGGTTGCTCATATTGGGGAGGGGTGGGTGGGGGTGCCGATGGCATAGTCAAAGGGATATGATCAAGAGATTTTGATTGCGACAAGGCAGGATATAACTTTTCTGTTGAGCGAGTGGTCCGCTGCCACTTCTCATCTCCTGTGTCTCCTCTGAGACATTCTTTTATTAGAGTCCAAAGCGTAAAGGTATCAATAGGTACCTTCTCAGGGCCATGCACAGCATAATAGCCCTGGAGTCTTTCACCTACTTTGTTCCAAGTTTCAATATTAATAGTTCCATCCCTGGGAAACCAGGGGCATACTTCCTCTATAAAATCTAAAAAACTACTAATCTGACTCCGAGTTACTTTTACTCCTCGGGCAACTAATAATGATTTCAGCATTGCAGAAAAAATGCCTCGTTCTGTACTTGCAGCTTGTCCCATTTTATTTAACAATCTGTCCAATTCCCTAGTCCTTACCTCCCTATTTAAAGTTACCAACCGCGGCTCGTGGGAGGAAGCGACGCCTTAGTCATTTGGATACCGGGAGTTCCCGGGTTTCGGCACCAAATGACGGAGACCAGCTCAAGACGCCTGGGACAGACGGGCTTAAGGCTCTGGTGGCGCAAAAGCAAAGTTTATTGTTGTTACAGGGTTTTTATATCTTTTAGCTACAGGAGTATACAATACTTAAATCAGATAACATTCACGTAGCTGACAGCAATACGTCATTATTTAATTAGCTCTTTGTATTATGATCAGTACAGTGATCAAAAGGCGTTCTCTCCACAGAACATGTTCTGCTCTTGGTCACAGAACGAAGAAGCTGTAGCTTATGCTTGCTAGTTTCACATGGCAGTCCTTCCCTTTCAGGAGGGGCCGCGTGTTCCCTGTTTGACCCTTTCAGGCCAGCCAGGTCTGTTTTGCTTAACAGTCTTCCTCATTCCACCTTTTTCTATTTTATTAGACCAGGGGTGGTGGTGGTTTGTTTTTTGTGTTTTCCATTTCCAATTTTTTAAGATTTATACGCAAATTTTGGAGTCTATTTGTTATCATTTTCATCAAGCATGGACAAGCAAGAATTCCTATTATTATCATTATGGTAATGACTATCAGCCCATAAATTCCATTTCTAAATGATTTGAAGGACGGAAATGCAGATTTTAGAGCGCTTATGAATGTAGTAGTTTGAGTTGCTACTGAAAGATCTATATGGTGTGATTGTATCATATCGTGAATGTGCTGTCTCAATTCCCCAAGATCTAATGATGTGTTCGCATTATTCCATATGCCTTGAAGATGATCTTGTATTTTGTTCCAAGAGAATTTGGTATTATTGTATTCAATAGGAGTCACACAGATAGCTCGGTATTCTGCATGACATAAGAGAGATTCACGAGTAGCTATAATTTGTAACTGTCTTCCCAGGATGTCTACTGTATCCTTTAAGGAATTGAGACGCAGTTCAATCTTTTCATCCCATGTAGCTTGATTTTGTAACGCTTTAGATACATTAATTGATAATTCATTAACATAAGCTGCTGTCTGAATACTAGTTGTTAAAGAAATAGAAGCTACTGTAGTTACTGCTATGGCAGCAATGAGCGCAGCTATTCCGGCTATTATTAATCCGACCATTCGCTTAGATCTCTCTATTAATTGCAAAGAAGTTTCTTGGAGAATTTCCATTCCCTTGTCAGCATACCAATAATGTGTCAAATTTACAGGAAGATAGACGTAATCAGGTTGCTTTACTAACAAGAAGGAACTACTGCTACTATTAAGACAATTAGAGATTACACAATCGGTACAACTCACTATGCTATTCACAATATTTAGCGGTCCGCTTAAAAAGGCATAAGGTTCTGGAACACAAGCTCGCATATAAAACTCAGTTGTATAACTCTCTGCAGTCATTGACCATTTATTATTTATTTGAATCCAAGTCAAGTTTAATCGTTTTGCTTTGATTTTTTCCATGGCTGCGACTGCTTTCCATAAATTAAAATAGAACGTATGATTGTTTTTTGTCCAAATTCCTGAGACCAAATTAATTGGTCGCCCTTGATTTCCTATGATATTCCAATCACAGATAATGGAATCCATGCACACTGTTTCGTTAGCTCGACATGCTCTCCATAAAGGTGCAAATTCTGTTTTTGGAGTGATTGTGCTTTGACATAAAGGAAAATTTAAGGGAGGCGTTCCAGAACCTCTTGTCCCTTTAGCTAAATCTATATAGAGAAAATTCAGAGCCCAATGAATTCCTGTTGAAACATTGGTATCCCAATCTTGCTGCACTACCACTTTCTCACACAGGGATTGTGTTTGATTCATCTGAAAGCATATAGGCATACCATCAACCTTTCCAGAATAATTAAAACGCGCAGAGAACTCTATTATGTGTCCATCTGAATAAACATTGTTTGATTGTTGTAAACCGGAATGTCCACGGGTTCATCCCATGTTACTGGATGAATGATAGGAGGATTGGGTACAAATGCCCGATATGTTCCTGCATTACAGCCATGATGTAGGACCCACAAGGTACTAAGGATTAAGGCCACAAATTGTATTTTCACTTGCATCTTCCTTTCCCATGTCTGGGTTAGAGTCAATCTCTGAATCTTCCTTCGCAGTTTTCCCATCTTGGTTTTCGGCATGTCGAATGAGTCGTTCAGGGATCCACCGCGGTGATGGCTCATCTGTAGGGAAGATACAAGCATACCCTCGTCCCCACATTAATACTGGGTCTGGTCCACGTAATTGCCTATCCTGTGGGTCCCGCCAGTATACTAATGGCTTGAGCTTATTGGTAGGATTCCAATGCCTGTCAGCAGCAGACAACCCATCATTATCAACTTGTAAAAAATTAAGAATAAATAAGGCATGGTTTAACAGAGAGGTGGGTGTGTCCTTGAATCCCCATATCCCCCCTTTTACTTTGTTTAATTGCTGCTTGAGGAGATGATTGCATTTTTCGATGATCCCTTGGCCTTGGGGATTATATGGAATACCAGTTTTGTGATGAATAGAAAATTGCTTACAAAAATTTCGGAAGGTGTCACTAGTATATGCAGGGCCATTATCAGTTTTGATTGTTTTTGGGATGCCGAGGATAGAAAAACAGTGAAATAGATGGGTACAAACCTGAGATGCACGTTCTCCTGATAATGGGGTGGCCATTACAAAATGTGAATAAGTGTCTATAGTGACATGAACATAAGAGAGTTTACCAAAGGAGGGCATGTGGGTAACATCCATTTGCCATAAGTCAAATAACGCGGTTGTAGGCCGCGTGGATTTACACCGAAGTGTGGAACAGGTAATAGGGGTGCACAAGCAGAGCTATTTTTGACTATTTGTCGGGCTTGGTCTCTGGTAAGGTGGCAAAGTTTTCTGAGGGTGCGAGCAGAAACATGATGTAATTTATGTAATTGCTAAGCTTTCTGCAAATTGGCCGTATAAATCCTGGTGTAATGATCAGCTTGCTTGTTACCATCAGCAAGAGGCCCTGGTAGACCCGTATGGCTTCGTATGTGGCCAACATATATGGGGTGATTTCTTTCGATCAAGAGAGATTGAATCAGGCTTAAATATTGTTGAATAAAAGTGACCTTAGAGTTGATTCGTGGAACAGTCTCAAGTAATTGCAGAGCATTAACTATATACACACTATCAGTAATAATATTCAATGGTTGTGAAAACTGTAAAAGGGCTTGATATACCGCATAAAGCTCTGCCATTTGTGCTGATACATTTATCAAATTCCAAGCGTAGGTGTTGTCTGTGGTTACTAATACAGCATGACCGTTAGAGGAACCATCAGTGAAAACTGTAAGTGCTGCTGGAAGTGGCTGCTGCTTAACAATTGTTGGAAAAGTGATTGAATGATAAGCTGCAAAGCTGAGAATTTTATCTTTTGGATATTCATTAGTAATCTCCCCTGTATATCCTGCAAAAGCTAAAGCAAAATCATCTAGCATATTAAAAAGCCAGGTAAGTTGATCAGGTTTATATGGAAGAACAATTGTGGCAGGCTCCTTCCCTAAATACATAATACTAAGGTGGCGACCAGTTCGAATTCGCTCAGCAATAAGCATGGGATACGAATGTAACGTGCCAGATTGGGTATGTTTACCATGGATCCAGTGTAGTACACCATCCTGATACAGAACACCAGTAGGAACAAGGGGTGTAGGGAGTATTATTAATTTCCATGGATCAGCAAGAGAAGCATAGGTAACTTGAGCTGTTTCAATTGCTTGTTCAACTTTCCGCAAGGCCTCCTTTGCTTGTGGAGTCAGCTGACGTGGAGAACTAGGATCTGGATTTCCTTCAAGAGTTTGAAAAAGTGGGCTTAAATCATGAGTGGTTAATTTTAAATAAGGCTGCATCCAGTTAATGTCTCCCAACAGTTTTTGAAAATCATTTAATGTGCTCAATTTATTTAGAGAAATTGATATTTTTTGTGGTAGAAAGTGCTTAGGATATAGTTGAAATCCCAAATACTGAAAAGGATAATCTCTTTGAATTTTCTCTACTGCTATTTTTAGACCGTTTTTTGTGAGTTGTATCTGCATGTGACCAAAGGCTTCCTCTAACAAGGAAGAATTTTCTGCTGCTAGCAAAATATCATCCATGTAATGTACACATACAACTGTAGGATATTGCTGTCTTGTGTCCTTAATGCTGTTATGAACAAATTTCTGACAAAGAGTAGGACTACTGGCCATGCCCTGTGGCAAAACTTTCCACTGATAGCGATCCATTGG